AAACCCTGAACCATAAACCATAAACCCTAAACCCTAAACCCTAAACCCTGAACCCTAAACCCTAAACCCTAAACCCTAAACCCTAAACCCTAAAATTGCTTCGCCAAGATGCATCTTGAGGATCGCTGGCTGCATCGAAGGCACTCGCCAGCCTCGGGGGCTTAGGGTGTTTTAGGGTTGAGGGTTTTTAGGGTTTAGGGTTTTTGGGGTTTAGGGTTTAGGGTTTAGGGTTTTTGGGGTTTAGGGCTTTTAGGGTTTAGGGGGTTTTGGGTTTAGGGTTTAGGGTTTTTAAAGTTTAGGGTTTAGGGTTTAGGGTGAAGGCCCTAAGCTCTAAGCTGGGTTCTCGTTAAGGAGTAGAGGGGTTTAGGTTTAGGGTTTAGGGTTTAGGGTTCAGGGTTCAGGGTTTAGGGTGTAGGGTTTAGGGGTTAAGGAGTTGAGGGGTTTAGGGATTAGGGTTTAATATAGGGGCCTGAATAGCTAGAATAGGGTTTCGGGGCCCATTCTACTAGAATTAAAATATGGAGCTCCCCCCAAAATAATGTAGGTATTTATTAAGGGCCCTATATTGCCCGAATGTAGGCCCTAAGCCCTAAACCCTGAACCATGCCTAATGCTTCGAACAGGACTTTGGGGGCTTCGGGCTTAGGGTTAAATATAGGGTTTAGGCAGGGGCCTGAATACTTAGAATCGGGCTTTGGTGGGTAGTATTAAGAGATGAGGGGGAAGAATGGTGCTTATTATTCAGCCCCCTATGTTGGGGCTTAGGGTTTGGACATGGGATTTGGTCAGCGGTCTGGGTGTCGCAAGACTTTGAGTTTTTGGGGCTTGGCGTGTGGTTATTTTGGCAAGGAAATGCACTCGGGAGGAGGTAAAATCGATGAGAAAGCTGGACTTAGCTTAGGGCAAAACCCTAAACCCTAAACCCTTAACCCCTAAACCCTAAACCCTAAAGCCTAAAGCCTAAACCCTAAACCCTAAACCCTATACCCTAAACCCTAAGAGGTGATGCAGGGTACAGCTGATGACTCTGCCAATCTCGGGCCAAAGAGCATGGTCCCGTCGAAGGGTTTAGGGTTTAGGGTTTAGGGTGTAGGGTTTAGGGGTTTAGGGGTTTAGGGATTTAGGGGTTTAGGGGTTTAGGGTTTAGGAGTTTGGGGTTAGAGTTTAAGATGTCAGCCAGGACCCTCCTTGTACCCGCAGGTAGGGGTATATGGTCCCAAGTTGTCCCAAGTAGTGAGCATTTGGGGTCTAATAGAGGGTAGATGGAGGGTCTAGGAATGCGGGGCTTGATTACGGTTACAGTACAGCGCCAGCGGCACCAGCCACAGAATACACGGAGAAACATACACCCCACAAACTTGACACCCCAAACCCAAAACCCACATGCTGAGCTTTGAACGTTTCGGCAGAAGGAGTGCCAGACACGGCTGTCCCGAAAGTGGTAGGCAGGCGACGGAACTTTGGAGGCCTGTCCTGAATTGGAGGGCCCACCGAATCTAACAAACGGGCTTTTTCTCAAAAGTTCAGGGTTTAGGGTTCACGGCTAAATCCTAAACCCTAAACCCTAAACCCTAAATCCTAAATCCTAAACCCTAAGCCGTTGCAGTTGTAGCAACTGCTGTGGCTGCTGCTTTATACTCCTCATCTACCCCTTCTGTCCTGGTCTCGGATACCGGGCTTCAGGGTCTGAGGATTTGGGGTTTCTTGGTTTGGGTTTAGGGTTTAGGGCCTCAGTGTTTAAGGATTTGGGGCTTATTGGTTTGGGTTTAGGGTTTGGGCTTCAGGGTTTGAGGATTTGGGGCTTTTGTTGGGATGTATAAGGTTTACGTAGACCCCCCACATCTACCCGCTATCATACCCCCCCAAATCCCCACTATTGTATGAGACCCATCAAGGCAAAACCCTACTCGAAGGCCCCTATAATCACCCTAAACCCTCACGGACCCTAAACCCTAAACCCTCAACCCTCCCGAGTCAAAGCATCGCAGGTTTGGGGCTTTGAGATTTGGCTTCAGAGCGGGCGGAAGGTGTATCGCTGTTTCCGGCTAGGCTTTTGGGTTCAGGGTTTAGGGTTTGAGGTTTAGGGTTTTGGGTTTAAGGTTTTGGGTTTAGGGTTCAGCTCGACATAGGGGCTTGAATGAGAAGGATCCTACTACCGGGAGCTAGGCCAACGTACCTTTAAACAAGTGTTATGGCCACAAGCAGCTAGTACATTTACCAGTTTTCAGGTATCTGGGTGACTTTAGGTAAACTCAACACTTTTGATGGGAATCCACTGACGACTAGCAGTTTGGGCTTAGGACCCTTCGCGCGTTCAACTCTTGCAGATGCTACTTATAGGGAGGGCTTAGGGTTTACCCATAGGCCCCATAGTAGGTCCTTTTTGGGGCTCATATTCAGAATCCTATCAGGTAATCCCAAAAAAGGAACTACTATGGGGCCTATGGGTAGCGTTTCGGGCTTTAGGTTCAATTTGTTTTTGCGGTTCAGGGTTGGAGCTTCGGGCTGAAAGAGCTTAAGATTCCAGGACCCTCCTTGCACCCTCAAGTAGGGTAGACCTTAAACTACCAAACCATACTGTTTTGTAGGTTCCTTTTATAAACCCTAGTATGTTCTTCATAGGGACCCTGCAAAAAAATAGGTTTCGGTAGGTCAAGGTATGGTCCCAAATAATGGGCATTTAGGGTCTAGTGGGGGGTAGCTGGGAGGTCTAGGTTAAGGCCCCAAGAAGCACTGAAAAAGCCAGAAGGCATCTGTGGCAGCACGGGGCTCTGTCTGCTGAGGCAGGAAATGTTCTCGGCACATCCTCAGAAGCTAAATAATTAGAATAGGGTTTTGGGGCCCACTATACTATAATTATAATAAGGAGCCCCCCAAAAATTGTATTGGCAATTATTTCGGCCCCGACATAATCTGAATCGAACCCGCGTTGACAATTGTCAGGATGCAACTGATGTAACTGATACAAAAGGAAGGGGTTCTGCGAATGCAAGCGGAGTTTGGAAATGTTCAAGGCGTTGCTGGGACTGCGAGAGTGGGAATGGGCGGGTTCAGATTTAGTTTAGCGATGGTCGGGCGTTGGCTTTAGGAAAAAGGCAATTTACGGCTCAAGGTTCCCTGAGGGTCCAAAGGACCCAATATTAAGGTACTTTGGTTGCGGATAGTAGTTATCTAGGCTTATGTTAATATTTGATTAGGTACTTGGACCCTTAGGAGTTCATTTTAAGGTCATCGAGCATCTCTCTGTTCGAATCATATTCGGACGGCGGTCAAGAAAATATCAAGAACAAGTGGGAGAGGCTGTATAGTACTTCGTAACCCCTGTGGCAACCCTCACGGAAATCCTTATGCTAGGCCGTAAAAAGCAACATGATGAGTATGATAGTAGCCCGTAAAGTAGCCCTTGCAGTTTTGGAGTTAGGATTAGGGGGACCCTTGACCTAGGACAGTAACCCTTCTGGTAAAGGCAGGAGTCTGATTCACTTCGGAGACGAGTGCCTCAAGCAAGCTTGCCAGCGGCTCAGTGCGGAGTTGCGGTAGGCCGGGCACCGTTTGCTGCGCGACACGTACAGAAGACGGCCGAATCTCTGCCAGCATACGCAAGACGGGATTGGATACTAGGGACTCTCCCATGATGTTCAGGCGTCGCATCCACTGCTGACGAACGTGCGAAAGTCTTCTGTAAAGCTCCTGCTTCCTGGAATCCAGCGAGTCTGCACCTCCATACTCACTGCGCTGCACTGCTGAGCCCGCTTCAAGTGCTACTGCAGGGGACCGAAGCACGACGGGAGCCGGTTTTGGAGGCGGTGCAGCCAGATCCGAAGGCACAGGAGAAATGCGAAAGAAGGCACTTTGGTCGGTAGATCGCATCCTGCGGAATCCTTGCTCCGACACGGAGAGGGCCGCATAACTCAGACCATTCGCCAGCTTAGCAGGTTTTTCCTCCAGGAGTCCTGCTCGGAGAACATGTGGGAGAAAAGCCTTCCACCAGCTGTGGGCCTTGTGACGTCCACTCCCAAAGGTAGGATGCCGGTGAAGGTTCCGCGCCTTGAGCTTGTCGACCAACTGGCCTGCGGCCAGCGCGCAGGGCAAGGCAGATCCAGTGAAGCCACCGCATGCCGAGACACACTGCAGCAGGATGCGGCACTCTTGCGTGAAGTCGATATTTTCTGGCGACTGCGTCATCGGAAGCTTCCTGGCCTCACACACGTCACACCAGGAGCAGCATGCCGGAAGGCTCCCGACTTGGATGCACTCTCCTTTGCGTGGCTCCTGCGGTTCGCTGTCCAGCCTGTGAGGCTCTTCGCCGAAGTGCTGGAGAAGTCTCACGCGCCGGCACTGGCTGCTGTCTGCCAGGAAGGCTGCGAGCTTGGAGTGCAAGAGAAGCAGGTGCCTCGAATGCTCATCGTTGGCCTTGCAGCCTTGGAGTATCAGAGTCTTGGCTTCTTGGAGATCCTGTGGTTTAAAGAATGTGATGCACTCCGCATCCTCTCCGTCACGCCCAGCCCTGCCACACTGTTGCACGTAGCTCTCAAGCGAGTGTGCTGCACCATAATGAATCACGCGGCGAATAGAGGCCTTGTCAATGCCCATTCCGAAGGCAACCGTGGCCACAACCACTTGAAGTTCGTCCATCAAGAATGCTCGGTGGATATCACTTCGGTCCTGCATGGGCAAACCGGCATGATAGGATGCCGCCGCCACACCGGCTCTACTCAGCAGTGCGGCCAGCTCTTCGCAACGCGCCTTGGTCTGTACATACACGATGGTGGAAGAAGTTGGATCGATCTGGGTGTTGTCAATCACCCGTTCAGACCCGTGAGATGACAAGCCAAAGATCTCAGTCATATCCTCCTCGAAGGTCCTGCGTGGCTGCACGATGTACTTTAAGTTCGGGCGGTTCATGGGTCCGACGATGTGCACGCAGCCCAAGAGACCCATGCTCCGCTGTATGTCATGTCGCACCTCCTTCGTGCATGTGGCCGTCAGGCACCTGACTTAAAAGGAAACTACAGGTGGGGAGTTTAGGGTATATACGTAGGGCTTCTATATAAGGCTTCCATAAGGTATATAGACCTTCTAAAATTCTAAAAGGCTCCTATAACAGTAACTACCCGCCTGAAAATGTCCTAGAACCTGACAGCACTGGCAAAACTAAAAGGCATGACTCTGATCCTGCTACTTACTTCCCCAATAAGCCAGGGAAACAAAAGGTTAAACTTTCAGGTTACTACTAAACTATAAGAACCCAAAAAGTTTAAAGGTTGGGTATTGGGGAACTAAGGCTCTTGCCCAGGGATATAGGGGCCGGCAAAAAAAATAAAAGCCGCCCAGACCCCCTAAGCCCTAAACTCCCTGAACCCATGAAGGCCTACGCTAAACCCTAAACCCAATGGTGTAAGGCGTGTCATCTAGGGGACTACATAATTGTCTATACTATTTTGGGGCCCGTTCCTCATTATGACTCCAGTAGACTATATACCCCAAAACCCTATTCTAATTCTGAATCATTCAGGCACCTAGGCAAATGGGAGTCCGAGCAACATGGTCGGCACCTGGCCAAGGGCTTCACGTAAGCGACCCAGCTGCTGGTATACCGGCCGGAAGTCATGTCCCCAAGCAGAGATACAGTGCGCCTCGTCGATGGCCAGCACACAGAGCGCTTGCCTGCAGACATTGACACATGTACAGGTTTGGTTACGGTTACACTGTTGCAGCTATGCAGCTATGCTTTATGTAGAGAGTAGCTTGGTACTTTCACTCGTTTTAAGTGCTTGATTTATACTGGAGGTCACGACGATGCCCTGTAGATCCTGACTTACTGGCACATCCACACCACACCCACACAACACAGACGCGGACGGACCGACAGAGACACCCACACAAAGCGAAGCAACGATGCCCGACGTCCGGAATGACCTAGGCCGAAACACAGAAAATATCCCCACACGCCTCACTCCAGCAATCTCCGCCAGGTGTCCTAAGGCAAACTCCGGACCTTGGACATTGGAGGTGGATCGAGGTATGGTATACTACTGTGTTAGGCAAGCGTTGGCAAATTGTGCAACCACACGTCAGTTCTGCACTCGCGTGTCATTCCTCTGGCTGGCTAAAAGATGCAGCGTGCAGTACCACAAAGAACATATCGTAAATCCCTTAAACCCAAAATCTATACAGGCAAGAAGTCGCAAGACTCTGAACCCACATACCATGGCACAAGCCAAGCTGCTCATGTAGACCACCCGGTAATGACCAGATGTGACAGAACTCCAGCAAAATGAGTCCTGGCATCTGGTTGTCGCGACCATGACAACTCTCGCATTCGTTTCTTGGGTACTGGCACGGAAGATGATAAATCTCATGGACAATCATGATGGGATTAGAATGATGGCGATTGTGATGAACACCAAGACACGGTGACGGCCACTAAAGCTGTTGCCGCTGCCACTGCTACTGTGATGGCAGCTACAGCTGCTGCTGCAGCTGCTGGTGTTGCTGCAGTGGCAGCTGCTGCTGCTGCTGCTGCTACTACTACTACTACTACTACTACTACTACTCGTACTACTCGTACTACTACTACTACTACTACTACTACTACTACTACAACTACTACTACTACGACGACGACTACTACTACGACGACGACGACGACGACTACTACTACTACTTTAGCCACTGCTACTGCTACTGCTACTGCTATTGCTACTGCTACTGCTAAGGCTACTGCTAC